CAAACTGTCTTATAGCCCAAGGGATAACATACTTCGCAGCCTTTCCCTTAAGCCCCACCAAGCAGACATGCAATCTGTCAATACTCTTCTGCACTCCTCCTCGCAACTGCCGTAAGGTGGATTGTGCCCATCATAGAAACTTCCAGCGGTGTATGGTTCTTGAAGCGTGAGAGCGGTTCTCTAACTGTCCCCAGGATAACAAGGTTTTTCCTTGCAGGTCCCTGCTTCGCCAAAGCCATAACAGATATTTGAGTTGCTTGACGGTTGGTCCTTGCGGACCATGAACTCTGGCGACTAGCTCACCTGCTAGCCTCCGTACAATATCATCCTTTAGGCCGCTTGTAGGCAACGAGGACATACGCAATGCTTGTCTTATCTCCTCACATCGCATAAGGGCCACGGTGTCTGAGCATACTCGCTCCAAGTCCTCGTCGACTGGGTCATAGGTAGTTTGCGTTGATTCCTCCGCGACACTGGTGGCTGGGCTCGCTGCCGTCGAGGACGGCATAGGTAGAAGCCTGGCTGGGCTTCCGGAAGACTGCGCAGGTCTCGTCCTTGACGACATCGTAGGCGCCGATTCTTGTGGGGATGCTCTCCGCGGGGTCGTAGGGAACTCATCTCGTGAACTAACCGCGGCGTCCTCGCTCCTCTTGCGCAGCTCTCGCTCTATCGCTTGTGAGGTCGCATCTCGAAGTCGCCTTAGTCTTCTCAGCTTCCTCGCTGAGGCTCCTGGAGTCCACTCTTGATAAGCCATCAATATGCCCCACTTGAGTCCTTCCCACAGCATCAAAGCTCCCAATATCATCAACAGGACCATACATACTCCGGCCACATCCCAGTCTATCTGAATATTTGGTGCTTCCTCTTGAGCCTCGACTGTAACCATCATAATGCAGCATATCATCGCCACCAAAGCCCTTGCTGCTGCCGTAGACACCGTCCGTGTTCGCACCGTTGTGGGCTGTATACCCGGCTCTCTTATTCCCCACAAAGTCAACAACGTCCTTATTCGCTCGCCTGATAGCGCCTTTGTAAGTAGGTCCGCTGGCTGTCGTACTCCCGGCACATGCATTGGCCTTATAGTTTGATTGCTGATAGCCTCCTGCAACCATCCAGCTTTTATCCTCAAGTGCCTTGTCCTCCACCATAAACTGCTTTGCTCACTAACATCACACATCACTGCCGTGGTTAGTTCCAACCAATCCTGAAACTTCATCGCCGTCTCTGCCCCTGGAGCCAGGTCAGGTAGCTGGGCGAGCGTCGTTGTACCAGGCTTAATAACTTCAGCTGCTGGAGTTTGTGTTCTTGTCTTCTTGTAATTGCTGAACACCCTTCAATACTGCATTCATAACAGGCGACTCATCAGGTCCAGCTGCTGTCGTAGATGTCGTCCTGGGTGGCGGCGTTTCACTTCGCGCTCTCGAAGGGCCCAGAAAAGATCTCATGAACCCTCGTGGCTCCGGTAGCGGGGGTGGCGTCGGTACTGCACTCGTTGTTCCGAAGTCCGGGATTGTAGGTCGTGGTTCCTGAGGTTGGACTGAGGGGCCTGATGGAGCTGAAAGAAGATCTTCTAATAGCCTTGGAGGGTTAGGGGGTACTGTAGCACCTTGTGGTAGTCCTGCTGGGTTCCCCCATAAATCCGATTGCTGTTGACCTCCTAATACTCCAAAACTGCCTTGAACATCAAGAACCGGCACCCTTGGTAGTGGATCCCATAGAGCTCCAGGACCTCCTTGTCGTTGTGACCTTGCTGCCTCAAGGTTCCTGCGGGCTTCTCCCAGCTCGTTCATCAAGGCATCATTTCGGCTCTCAGCAGCTTGTAGTGGCCCCAAGAGTCCCCCAAGTTGTCGTTGCACCTCAGCTTGTATAGCTTCCGCTGAAATCTCCGAGCTCGGTGGCGTTGGCGGAGGCACTGGCCGCCCCGTGGGAGCTGGAGATCTGAGGCGAAAGGTTGGCCCCCCCGGTGGTGAGGGCGAAGATATAGCAGAACCTGCCAGTGGGCTCGGGGCAAAGTCCCCTCGCCCTGGTGCCAAATAGCTCCCCAACCGGGAAACCCATCGTGGAACTTCTAGTCCCGCTATCCAGTTATTCTGGCCTGTTGACACGGTCGTCATAGCAGATCTCGGCGTTAAGAACTCCACTGCACGCGACCCACTCGCCACTGCGCCTTGCACCACTCTTCCACTGTCCTGGTCTCCGTCCAGTGCTACAGTCGTAGCCGGTCGTGTTTGCCGCTCCTGCTGCTGCGCTGATTCGTCCCTTAAAACAGGGCTGTGGTACGTTGGCGGCGCTTCCGGAGTATACGCAGCCTGTCCAGTTGACTCCATCATTGTAGTGTCCACAAGCCCATCTGCTCGCTCCTCCAGCGTGGAAACATTTCCTGTAACTGCCGTTGACTGGGATGTCCCGGCATCGGCCACCTGTCGATCCGGCGTCACCCCATTAGCGGTTGGCAGAGGCCTTTCCGTTTGGGCGCTCATAACCTGCAGAAAGCAAGATGCTTACTTCAGCTCAAACGCTGGGCGGCTCCTGCAGTCTCAAACCATGGCACACGCACGCTGGAAAACCCTTATTTTCTCACACAAGCGAAACTGTAAGTTCTGACAGACATCTTTACAAAGCAGACAAAAGCTTTCTGCGAGTTCTGGCTTGGATTTGTGTACACGTTGGGCTCCAGCACTGGTCCACTCGCTAGCGTCTGCAAACTGTCTTATAGCCCAAGGGATACCATACTTCGCCGCCTTTCCCTTAAGCCCCACCAAGCAGACATGCAATCTGTCACCGCTGAAATACTCTTCTGCAGGTGTAGGGTTGTAGGGGTTTAGGGTTTTAGGGTTTTTAGGGTTTTAGGGTTTAGGGGTTTAGGGGTTTAGGTTGTAGGGTTTAGGGCTTTCGGGTTTTAGGGGTTTAGGGGTTTCGGGGTTAGGGGTTAGGGGTTTAGGGGTTTAGGGTTTAGGATTTCGATGCACATCAAGGCGATAGCTATGGTGGGATTGACCCAAAGCTTCTGGCTACTTGACCGCAGAGTCAGGCGTTTAGGGTCTAGGGATTTAGGGTTTAGGGTCCTAAGACTGGGCGGGGCTTTGGTTTCAGGTTTCAGGTTTAGGGTTTAGGCTTTAGGGTTTAGGGTTTAGGGTTAGGCCATGGCTTTCCAGGTGAATAGTTGCAGTGTTTGGAGGGCTTGAGGCTTGCGCTTAACCTGGGGGGTCCATGTATACGACTGTTATCCGGGGGCTTAGGCCAAAAGCATACTAATGATGGTTTTGGGGGACCCAATTCCTTAATGCCTCAATGGTGGTATACATGGACCTTCTGGGTGAAGTTTCAATATCAGGGTTCTTTAGGGTGTACGAGTTAGGATTACGAGTTAGGATATAAGGTTCGAGTTTTTGCCGTGTTTACCTCGAAATTTAGCGCGACTGACAAACTTAGCGGTGGGGTTTGCTTCTGAGAGTTTAGTATTCAGGGTTGGGTTGTCTGAGGTTGCAGATATCATGCGGACGTACTAAGGCCATCTGCCTGTGTTGCTTCATCCCTGAACTCTAAACCTAAACCCTGAACCCTGTGGCAGCCTCAGGTCATCCACCCAGGAAGCAAGACTGTGCACTTCAACGAACTCGCTCAAAGAACAGGCCTGGGAGAGCCGCTAAACCCTAAAGGGCTTAAAACCCAAACCCTAAAACCCTCAGAATGCCCAAGTGAAGTGGCTCGGCGGCCAAGGATACCTATAGATTTCAAGCCCCTTGTACGCTTCCCTCCATTCAAAGCACCAGCCTCTGTGAACCATCATAAACCATACCCTAAACTTAAACCCTATATAGCAACCGACCTTATTAAAGAAGCTATTGAATATTGAGGAAAATCATACGAAGGAGCCCTAAACCCTACACCCTTAACCTTACAAAACCCACAAGGAACAGTATAAAATGATGTTAAGTCATAGCAAGGAGCCCTACACATGTAGGTTCCCAAGATCGCAATTGCTCAACGCAGTTTTCTGGCCGTGACGACATAGGGTTCAGGTTTAGGGTTTAGGGTTCACACCACTAGGAAGATGTTTGGAATGTGGGGCACCCACTACCGTAAACCCTAAACTTGAACCCAGGCGGTGGTCCGCTGCACCCTTGGAGACTCCCCGTCTCTTACGTACGTAATTATATATGTGGGTAGTTCTCTAAAGTAGGGTCCCTTTTAGTTTTAGGGTCCCTTTTCTATAAGGGTGCCGTGCTGTATGTGGGACTTAAAACGGGACCCTAATTTAGAGAACTATCACGTACGCATGTAACACAGAGAAACTGATTATAAAGAGCTGCTTACACACGGGTGCACTCATGGATCTCTTCGTATGTACACTATATAATGTGTATCTATCTATATATATATAGACATACATACACACATATTTATTTATTTATTTATCTATTTGTTTTTTTAATTGTGTTAAGTATCACGGACAGGTACATATATGTACATGAGCACATATATATATATACATACACATATATACACACATTCAAGCATATGTATTTTTCGGGATATATATATATGTATGTATATGTATATATATATATACATACATACATACATACTCCTCCGGGTCGATAGTTCGACCCACTAACTTCAACAACGAAGTCGACCCGTGCCCCGACCCTCTTCCCCTCAGACTCCTGACTCCTGACACAAGTGAGCCTTGGGGCCTCCTCCGCAATGAATTCGTAGTATGATGTTTAAAAACGGCGTGGCAATTACTCCGCTAGCCGGCGCAGGGATTTCGTCACTTTCAGGCACTCCGCTACCCTGCAAGAGTTTGAAACATGACATAAGGCCCGGTAGCTCAACACTTTCGGCCCGGGGGTATATGTATGGCTATGTGAAACAGTGCACGCCGATCGACTGCGTTTACTTGTTGTGGCGGTGTTTTTTTCGGATGTCTTCGAAACTCGGAGCTGCATAAGCCAGTAACCCCAAATCCTAAACCCAAATCCCTAACTGCTAGGTTCCAAACTCTGGAAGCCAGAAAGCCGTGCGATTTCGCACTTCAGGGTCCGAGATCTCTCAGTGGGCAAGTGATGTTTCAGGGGTGCCTCAGAAACTTTAGGCAGAACCCTAACCCTAAACCCCAAACCCTAAACCCTAAACCGTCCCTAGACCTTACAAATCTTAAACCTGGGCAGGTATCGAGTTTCGGGAGATGCTCTTTTTCGACGACCGTGCGATGAATGTCCGCGTGCTTTGGCTCTTTCAGGGTTTAGGAATGCTTTGGAGTTGAGGGCCCTGAAACGCCAAAGTTAGTCCGTAAAAGGCCCCACCCTCCACCTTAAAGCTTCGAGATTAAAACGGAACCGACACCTTTCATACATCCTGCACTGTGAAGCCCACACCCTCCAGCCCCAGTTTTGTTCAACCCTTCAGCAGGTTTACTTGGAGGTTCACGGGCAGTTAGAAGTGTAGTTGTAAGTCCTATAGTATGGGTTATAATCACAGTTGCCCTACTTATAGCCTCAACTACCCATGAACCTCCAAGTGGGGTTTAGGGATTAGTGTCTTTCTTTCAGGAAACCCTAAACTCTAAACCCTTTATTTCTAGCCGTTTAGTTTTCAAGGTTGTGGCTTAAGTTTCGGCACTTAAGGAGGTTTCCCCGAAGCTCTAATCCGAAGCCCTAGGCCTAGTTAGTTTTCGAAGCAAGATTCAACAATCAACACGTCAATAATCGTACTGGTACTAATGACAAGCAGAAGACATGGTAACAATATTGTGTATACATATATATATA